TAAATCTATAATTAGTGGTATTTTTGTAAATGGACACCCCTAAGTAGCATTCTTGCAAATATGCACACAAAAGTGGCATGTTTGTAATTGTTCCTATATTTTATTTAAAAATTAACGATTAGATATTATTACATGCTAATATTTGAAAATCTAATATTCAACTTTTACGTTAAAAAAATAATAATTTAACATTGTCATATTATATTTAGTGTTTAATAAAAAAATCCTTATGCCACTATGAAAAGTCGAATATTAAATAAAAAAATCTGGCCATAGTAAAACATTCAATGAGTGAAATTGATTTTTAAATCTTATATATTCTTAATTGTCTAATATTAATGGAAAAAATTGTTTTTTTTTAACAAAATATGAAAAAGTGTAAGAGATGTTAACCATAACAAAATAGAAAAAAAAAAAGAAATGTTTGGAAAACAAAATATAGAGTATTTTGTGTATGTTGTATGAAAGATTTATTAATTATCCTTTGTTTACGAAAATTTGTTCATATTAATTTTTTAATATTTTGTTGTCGAACTCAGTTTTTATTCAAAATTCAGTGTGAACTTAATGATTTTTTTTCTTAAAGACGATCAAATAGAGGTTCAATTTTTATGAGATGAATCTCAATTTTTTATAATAGAATGTGCACTCCAATGTATTAAATTATTGAGAAATTTTAAGAAATGCCACTTTTTAAGCGCCACTTTTCAAAAATGCCACATTTTCAAAATCTTTGTAAAAATACCACTTTTTCAAAATTAATTTTTTATTATATCATTTATGTTTGGGTTACTATGTTGTATTAGGGTTTAGTTTTGAGGGTTTTAGGGGTTTTAGAGGACAAAATGATTTTTAGGGTTTATAATTTTAAGATTTAGGCTTTAAAAATCCATAATTAGTGGCATTTTTGCAAATGGACACCCCTAAGTGGTATTCTTGCAAATGTACACATCAAAAGTGGCAGTTTTCCAATTGCCTCTTAATTATTATACATTTGATTTGACATATTTATATATATAAAATAATAAAATTATAAAATAATAAATGGTAAAACTAAACTTCCGAAAATTCATGCAAACTAAATTAACAATAAAATATCAACAACAATGTATATACAAAAATGAAAACAAATACATATTTGCACATTTTTAAAGTGAATAATTTAAAACAAAATTACAAATAAATTACCCGTGAGTCACCTAGTATATATTAATTGAGAAGACACTATAGTGAAAAATCATATGTGTCAATCAATGAGTAATTTAAGAGACACATCAACTAAATCAACAAATCTAAACATTCTAATTAATTTATATGCCATGGTAAAAATTTCTATTTATTTTAATTATTTTTTAACAAATATATGTGTCACAAATTTAAATTTAACTAAATCGTTAGATTTTAATGTATATAACATCATATATATAACATCCTATATATAGTAATTGAGAAGACATCGGCAGAAAATAGCTGATATGTCAGAGTAAATTCAGGAACATCTCAATAATCTATTACAAGAAACTAACGTGACTTATTAAAAAATTACAAAACTTAACAAAAAAAATTCTCAATCGTCATAAAGAAAATAAGATGCAAACTGACTCAATAACACTTTAAATTAAAAATATTAGTATGGTTATTGCAAATTGACTCAGTCAATTATCGGTACTCAATAAATTTCAAATGCATGTTAATTATTTATTCTTTTTTTTGTTAAAGTACATGTAAATATTCTTAAGTTAGTTATATATAACTATTAAGTTTTTTAACATTAGAAAGAAGTCGTAATACCAAACTTATTTACATTAGTTTGGAACTAAATAAATCAGTACTTATCTAATACTTTTGAATGTTTATGATTCGAACCAAAGATTTAAAATTTATTTTATATAGTAATATTTTTTTATTATTTTCTATATATTACAAAATAAATTTCATTATACAATTACAATTTATAATCCAGCACTC